CATAGAGTGTTCTGCCTATGTTTTCCTCTAAGAGTTTGATAGTTTCTGGCCTTACATTTAGGTCTTTAATCCATTTTGAGCTTATTTTTGTGTATGGTGTTAGGGAGTGATCTAATCTCATACTTTTACATGTACCTGTCCAGTTTTCCCAGCACCACTTATTGAAGAGGCTGTCCTTTCTCCACTGTATATTCCTGCCACCTTTATCAAAGATAAGGTGACCATATGTGCATGGGTTTATCTCTGGGCTTTCTATCCTATTCCATTGATCTATCTTTCTGTTTTTGTGCCAGTACCATACTGTCTTGATTACTGTAGCTTTGTAGTATAGTCTGAAGTCAGGCAGCCTGATTCCTCCAGCTCCATTTTTTGTTCTCAAGATTGCTTTGGCTATTCGGGGTCTTTTGTGTTTCCATACAAATTGTGAAATTTTTTGTTCTAGTTCTGTGAAAAATGCCAGTGGTAGTTTGATAGGGATTGCATTGAATCTATAGATTGCTTTGGGTAGTAGAGTCATTTTCACAATGTTGATTCTTCCAATCCAAGAACATGGTATATCTCTCCATCTGTTTGTATCATCTTTAATTTCTTTCATCAGTGTCTTATAATTTTCTGCATACAGGTCTTTTGTCTCCTTAGGTAGGTTTATTCCTAGATATTTTATTCTTTTTGTTGCAATGGTAAATGGGAGTGTTTTCTTGATTTCACTTTCAGATTTTTCATCATTATATAGGAATGCAAGAGATTTCTGTGTATTAATTTTGTATCCTGCTACTTTACCAAATTCATTGATTAGCTCTAGTAGTTTTCTGGTAGCATCTTTAGGATTCTCTATGTATAGTATGTCATCTGCGAACAGTGACAGTTTTACTTCTTTTCCAATTTGGATCCCTTTTATTTCTTTTTATTCTCTGATTGCTTTGGCTAAAACTTCCAAAACTATGTTGAATAATAGTGGTGAGAGTGGGCAGTCTTGTCTTGTTCCTGATCGTAGTGGAAATGGTTTCAGTTTTTCACCATTGAGGACGATGTTGGCTGTGGGTTTGTCATATATGGCCTTTATTATGTTGAGGCAATTTCCCTCTATGTCTACTTTCTGGAGGGTTTTTATCATAAATGGGTGTTGAATTTTGTCGAAAGCTTTCTCTGCATCGATTGAGATGATCATATTGTTTTTCTCCTTCAATTGGTTAATATGGTGTATCACATTGATTGATTTGTGTATCTTGAAGAATCCTTGCATTCCTGGGATAAACCCCACCTGATCATGGTGTATGATCCTTTTAAGCTGCTGTTGGATTCTGTTTGCTAGTATTTTGTTGAGGATTTTTGAATCTATGTTCATCAGTGATATTGGCCTGTAGTTTTCTTCCTTTGTGACATCTTTGTCTGGTTTTGGTATCAGGGTGATGGTGGCCTCATAGAATGAGTTTGGGAGTGTTCCTCCCTCTGCTATATTTTGGAAGAGTTTGAGAAGGATAGATGTTAGCTCTTCTCTAAATGTTTGATAGAATTTGCCTGTGAAGCCATCTGGTCCTGGGCTTTTGTTTGTTAGAAGATTTTTAATCACAGTTTCAATTTCAGTGCTTCTGATTGGTCTGTTCATATTTTCTATTTCTTCCTGGTTCAGTGTCGGAAGGTTGTGCATTTCTAAGAAATTGTCCATTTCTTCCAGGTTGTCCATTTTATTAGCATATAGTTGCTTGTTCAATTATTTTTGAATCACTCTATATATTATTTTGTCTCTTAAATTTTATATAAATGCATTAATATTGTACCTTTATAAATTTTTGATATCTAACTCATTAATTTATATACAATATTATGTTTTAAGAATATACTACAGTGGGCTTCCCTGGTGGCGCAGTGGTTGAGAGTCCGCCTGCTGATGCAGGGGACACAGGTTCGTGCCCTGGTCCGGGAAGATCCCACATGCCGCGGAGCAGCTGGACCTGTGAGCCATGGCCGCTGAGCCTGTGCATCCAGAGCCTGTGCTCCGCAACAGGAGAGGCCACAACAGTGAGAGGCCCACGTACCACAAAAAAACAAAAAAACAAAAAAAAACAAAGAATATACTACAATTTAAAAATTCCACTTCCTTATTTATGGACATTTAAGATTTTCTCATTTTTCCTCATTTTAAACAATGCTGCTACAAACATCATTGGGCACTTGAGGAAAAGTTTCTCTAAGGTATATGTCTAAAAGAATTGCCGATTTATAGAATGTGTGTGTGTCTTAACTAGGTATTGCCATATTGCTCTCCAAAGCTGTAACAGTTTACTTCATTGCCAGTAAAGATCTCTGTATCTCCAAATCCTCACCAACACTTGGTATTGCCTGATTTAAAAATTTTTGCCAATCTGGTGGTTGTGAAATGGTATCTCATCATTAATTCATTTTGCATTTCCCTAAGTTTCTTACCAATTCAGTAGACTTTTAGATGTCCTCTTTATTTAACTGCTTGTTCATCTCTTTTGCCCACTGCTTTTAAAATAGCATTATTTGCAGTAGTCTTTATGTATTCTAGATATTAATCTCTTAATGATTATATTCAGTGGATTTATCTTTTAACCATGATTTTGATGATTTGTCTAGAGATTAACATTTTTAATGTCATCACATTTGTCAAAGTTCCCCTTATGGTTTGTATATTTTATATCTTGATCAAGAAAACCTTGAGATTATAAAGGTATTCCATGCTTTCATCCAAAAATTTCAAAGTTTTGCTCTTTACGTTTAGGTCTCTTATCTGCAGTTGATTTTTGTGGAGGTAGAAATCTAATTTTTTTCCCATTTGAAAAGCCATTTGTCCCAAAACTATTTATTCACTAATCCATTCTTTTTCTTTTGTCACTCAATTTCCTTTATTTATGTATGCATATATTTCTTGTCTCTCTATTCTGTGTAATCTGTCTCTTCTTACACCAATGCCCTATTGTTTTTAACGTCTTGATATATCTGGTAAAAATATCCCCACTTCTTCTTCAAAATTCTTTTTTCTTCCTTCAGAATTATCTTGACTCTTCTTAATCCTTTACTGCTCTTTGTGAATTTTGGGGTCAGCTTGTTCATTCCATAAGAAACATATAACAATAAAAAATTGTCTCGAGATTTTGTTTCAAATTGCAATGAATTTATAGATTAATTTGGAAAGAAGTGGCATTAAATGGCTTTGAGTCTTACTGTCTATATGTATTTCTCTACTTAGGTCCTTTTTATGTCCTTCAGTAAAGTTTTTTACTTTTCTCCCTAAAAGTTCTTTTCTTAAAACAGTTTATTGAGGTATAACTTACATACCATAAACTTCACCCTACTCTAAAATTCTTGCATATGTGTTGTTAGATTTATTATTAGGTACCTTTTAGTTTTTATCATGAGGTACCTTACAGTTATTGTGAATAGCATCTTCGCTTTCTAAAATTTTTGTAACCGGACTTTATTTTTAAAGGATTGGGGACTTTTTATGTTCTATCACGAAATAGGTTAGGAGGTAACCCTCATTGCAACATATGATGGTAACGAAAAGATCTATAAGCCCAGTCCCAGGAGTCTGAAGCAGATAAAAGGGTGACAAGGAACCCTCCAAATCTGAGACTTGTTTCTAAGTGTTCACACCAGCAGAAAGGAGGCCTGTTTTTAATCCCTCCCTTCACATTCAGTTTATAGTTGACACCACTCTATTCGTACATTCAAGCATTCATTCACTTATCCATATTCTTTTAAATTAAAATATGGGGTTCTTGCTGTATACTAAGATCTGTGCTAGGCATTTGGGATTAAATTTTTTAACTTGTAAAATTAGATTTTACAAGAGTGTTGTGAGAAGGACACAAAAAAGGCTAGTTGGCTAACTTCTCAACTAGGCTATCCAAAAAATGTAGCACTTTACAAAGCTCTTTCACATATATTTTTATATTTAGTCATCATAGCAATCCTTAAACATTTTTATAGATAGTGAAGGTTAAGTAACTTTGAGTGGTATGGTTTTTGACAAAAAAATAAGATTTAACTATAAAATGACATGATTAAGTTTTTATTGCTTATAAATTGCCTCTGATTTTTATTCCTTTTGTATACAGCTCAATCATTTTTTTGTTTTGTTTTGTTTTGGGGTTTTCTTTTTTTTACAGAAACATTTAATTAAAGACTATAGAGTAAACATAATGTCTTAAGATCATAATCATTTATATTTAGTCTTCTTTGAGCACTGTATAGAAGGGCATTGTATAAAGAGATACCTGTCTCCATATTTTACAAAAGAATACTGTGTGAAAACCACTAAGAAGGCAGTGACTAAACTCCAAATGTGTATTTCCTCCTCCTAACACCAAGACAGCCATCTTAGTTTGTAGGTAGCCCGTGTGCATTGTTACTTGTTAATGATAAATGAAAGCTTCTGATAGGCAAACTGAGAAATTTACATGGGATAGAAATTGAAGACATAAAGGAAATCTGCAGTGATTAACTCAATAGTGACTTAAATTTTTACTCTTAGAATTACTTTTCATTTCAATTTTTACTCTTAGAATTACTTTTCATTTCAGTTTCAAAGATGTTCTCTTCACGATTCTGGTCACTTGGTCTTACTTTTTACATCCTTCCAGACACATTGGAATGTATTAGAAGGTTATGGCATCTATACAAGGTTAATAATCTGAAGCTTTTCTTCAGTTTGTAGTCTAGGATTTGGAATATGATCCTCATGAAAGCCAGAAAACACTTTCTCTTCACTAGAAAAGTTTCAGAGAGGAAATATTACTCAAACTAAACAGATTTAGTAAATAAAGCTGAAATTGGCATTTCTCCCATGTATGAATAAAAAAGTCATTTAATTTTTTTCATTTTATTTTAGTCACTGTATATATGCCTTGTTTCCTGGGTCCACGGGAAGCATGAGCCTGTTGGGACTTGGGACAAGAAGAAAACAAGACATCTGCACAAGGAAAACCAGACACTAACAAAAAGTATCCCAAAGTCTGAAGAGATAAAACGCAAACATGACCGACAGAGGACTTAGGGATCCTCCAGAGGGTAAGACTAGTTTGTACAACACTAGGTTTGTGCTGTAGGAAACTAGGGCTGTGCTAGAGAGAAAGTCTCTGGTGACTAAAACTGAAGTTTGGAAGTAAAAAAGAAATTAACTTAATTGCTTAATTTGTTATGATTCTTATTCTTTGATACTTACTGAATTTTACCATAATACCAGACCCTAATTATGAAAAAGAGTTATATTTTAGAGACTCGCATAGTAGGAACCTATAGTATTGGAATAATTACAATGCATCTTAAAAAAAGATGGTAGACAGATCTTTAGATCTTTAGATTTTTTACATTTTAAAAAATCAAGTAAGCTATATGCTATATATATTTAGAGGGGGATCTTTCAATTATAAGGGAAGATGAAATTTAAATTCTTCATCCTACTTACGTGTATGTGTCTATATATATGATATAAAATAGGCAAAATATGAAGTAGGTTTTTCAGAAGAGAAGGGTATATTTAAATATTTTATTAAGGATATTTTTAAATACATGAAAGTAGAACAGTATAATGAAGTCCCATGTACTCAAAATCTAACTTCAACTTTTACCTACATAATGGTACTCTTGTTGCCTGCCTTGGAATATTTAAATGCAAACCCGAGACATTATATCATTTTATTTGTCAATACTTTAGTTTACATCTCTTAAAGATAGATTTAAAAAATTTAAAAAAGAACCAAAATAGCATTATCACACCTAAAAAATAAATTGTTATTCCATGCTGTCATCATATGTACAGCCAGTATTCACATTTCTCCCATTGTCTCATAATTTTTTTTTCTTCACTGTTGGGTTTTTTAATTCTTTTTTCTTTACATTTGGGCCACATACTGCATTTGATTGATAACCTCTTTTTGGTTGCTCTTTTTTTTTTTAAGCTTTATTATGGAAAATTTCAAACATATATAAAAGTAGAGAGAGGAAATGAATCTCATGTACCCATCAAACAGCTTCATCTGCTGTCAACATATGGCTAATGTGGTTCCATTTATACTCCCTTACTTCTCCTTACCCCCATATCATTGAATTGAAGCAAATTCTAGGTGTCACAAACTTTAGCCATAAATACTTGAACACTTATCTCTAAATGATAAGGATTTCTTTGTAAACACACTATCACAATACCTTTATCATAACTAGAAGATGAAGAATAATTCCTGAGTCTCATCCAGTATCTGGTGTTCAAATTTTTCTGATTATATCATAAATATTTCTTTAACAACTGGTTTGCAGGACAGTGAATCTAAACAGTGTGGTCCACACATTGTTTATGTATTCAAGTATCTCTTTATCAGTAGGCTACTCCTCCTTTTTTTTTTCTTGCCATTTATTTTTATTTCCTGCTGTTATTAAATAAACAAAGTCTTTTGTCCCTTAGAATTTCCCTCATTGTGGGTTTTGCTGATTACATTCCTGAGGCATAATTTAATGTATCCCTCTATCCCTGTGTTTCTTGGAAACTGGTAGTTAGCTCTAGAAGCTCGATCAGATTCAGATTCAGTTTGGCAAGAATACTTCATAAGTGGTATGGTGTACTTCCTATTGCATTGAATTCGGGAGGTTAGTAATGTCTGGTTTTCCTTCTTTTTGTGGTGTTAAGATTGATCAGTGGGTTCAGCAGTTGTCAGTCTCATTCATCTCGTTCATAAAATTCCTCATTATCCTTTTGCATAATGGTTTTAGTGGCTATTGATGATTATTGCCTAGGTCTGTTATTTCATTAGGGAAGAGGATGTATTTAATACTACCAAAAATTGGTTTGTCGTTCAAAATAGTTATACATTCATATTATTTGTTAGATTAACATGATAGTGAATTTGTTTAATCAGTCACCTTTAGTGAAAATCAAGAGAAATAATGTTTAGGAAGAGTGCCTCATAAGCCATAAAAATCTAAATAAATATTTTTATTAATCAGGGACCTTGTTAAAATACAAAAATATAGGGAAATTTTTTTAATAAAAATTATAAATTTTTATCTCAATAGACCCTCAAAAGGATTTGGAAAATGACCCATCAATAAATTGTCAGGCACAGGAGACTACAGTCACAGCAAGTACCACTGAAGAAGCACAGACCCCACACCCTGCCTCTGGTCTTAACAAAGACCACCAAGAGGTAGAATCAGTTGGTCCAGGAAGTACAGACACAGATGATCAATCAGAAAGTCCAGATGAAACAGATTATAGGAAATACCCAAAGGAAACAGAAGGTGAGAACAGCCAGAGTTTCCAGGGTGGAGAACAAGGGCATCAGCTCCCTTCAGAAAGTCTGGGTGAAGACCTCTTGGATCCAGAACCCAACTGTTCTCCAAGTGACAAGGTGGGAAGAACAGACGCACACTTAGTGAGCAGCTCTGCAGCCCTCCCCGAGCATGTGAGCGACAGACCCGGAGCTTTGCAGGAGCCACCTGTCCTTGACGCACACTTGGTGAGCAGCTCTGCAGCCCTCCCCGAGCATGTGAGCGACAGACCCGGAGCTTTGCAGGAGCCACCTGTCCTTGACGCACACTTGGTGAGCAGCTCTGCAGCCCTCCCCGAGCATGTGAGCGACAGACCCGGAGCTTTGCAGGAGCCACCTGTCCTTGACGCACACTTGGTGAGCAGCTCTGCAGCCCTCCCCGAGCATGTGAGCGACAGACCCGGAGCTTTGCAGGAGCCACCTGTCCTTGACCCTCAGGATACCCAGAGTCCTGGGCATTCCAGTGCACAGCTGGAGAGCCAGGACACACTGAGGAAACGACTGCTGGCACCAGGTGAGAGAACCCCTGAGCTTGTCCTGTTTTGTACTATTCTTTTCAGAGAACTTCTCTTTCCTTCATAGGATTAAGGCCTTTGCACCTTGCCCAAAGTCACATAAAGAGATATAACTGACTTGAGATTAGAATGAGGTTTCTCATCTCCTAAACTAGCTCATTCCACTACATTAAGTTGCTTCCCACACGTAAGCTGCATTTTTTAACAGTTTTTATTTATTTACTGTCTGTATTAATCCAGTATGATTTTTTTTAAAGGCATGACTTTTAAAAAATTTACCTCTGGCTTTTTCTTTATTTCTAATGAGCATATCTTCACTTTCACTTTTTAAAATCTTTTACTTTGGGGGAAACTAAATGCTACATAAATCAAGAGATAGGTATATTTAAAAACCAACATCAGTGGTATAGGATCCTTAACTCGGTCATCTTTCAGTTTTATAAGACTTTAAGCAAACTAATTTTTCTATACCTGATTTTCCCCACTTATGTATTAAGGAGAACAGCATCATATCATTCCTTACAAAGATAATAGTTGGAATGTGCAAAGTCTTTACACTGGAACTCAAGAGATATGGATTCTAGTTGTGGCCCTACCACTTCCTAACTTGGGTGAACTTGGGCAAATCTCTCAACTTCCTGGTACTTCAGTTTCCTATTTGCAGACTGAAGAAGTAGGACAAGATGCTATCCAGCTGGTCTCTTCCAGCTTTTTTTACCTTCTGTGATTTTATGGATTTGGTCTGTGTGGATTTGTATTTTATAAGTACTCTGAAAGCTCAGTCTGAAATGCCTATTTGCCAGAGCAAAGAAATGTAAGACATTCTGTTCATCAGGGACTTGACTAAGGGCTAGAATTCCATGTTTCACCATAAGTCAATGTCTGATCTCAAATATATGTTTCATTAGTTAATATTAGAATAGGCTGTAACTTCAGGGAAGGCAAGGGCTATGTCTCTCTCATTTATTGTGTTTCTGTGGCACTTGGCACAGAGAAGTGACTTTATGAATATTTGTTAAATGAATGAATGGATATGATTTGTATGGACCATCAGAATTTCACCGGTTCACTGAGTAGAGGAAGAAAACACTGTTTTAAAAATGCAGTTTATGTGTAGGAAGCAACATAATATAATGGAATGAGCTAATCTAGGAAATGAGGAACCTCATTCTAATCTCAGCTTGGCCATATCTCTTTATGTGACCTTGGGCAAAGCCCTTAACATCCCTGGACCTTTTGTCACAATAGGTAAAGTAGGGGGCTACAGTAGGTGATCATTAGAGATCCTTTCAGTCCTTAAATTCTGTGACATGATATTTTAAAAACCTGTGTTTTGGTGTGATATGACCAAATGAACTATCGTTTGTAGGTGAAGATGACTCTCCTTCTTTATGTTAATAGAGTATGCTATTTGAGTTATTTCTCCAGTAAGGGTTATGGGCAGTAGTCAGCTTTCATTGTTATATGAGGTACCTGGCTGGGGTCAAGCACACATCTAGACTCTAGAGTGACTTAGCTCAGAGTCTACAAAATACTGCCCTCCTTTTCACCCACACATTTTATGATTGGTGTCTCACCCCACACCTACATTTTTATATAGTTCATAAATTTTCTTAACCTTGTATTCCTTGCTTTGTATACCTCATTCACTAAGTTTCAAGCTTGCTTTTGTAAGCTATTTTGCAAAGGTACGCTATTACTGTACAGTAATCTCTCCTGTCTCTAAACTTAATGTCTCTGTTATTTGTATATTAGGGGGTCTTCAGGAGCCTTTTGAGATGTGAACACTGGAATTAGAGCATCATTGCCCTGTGATGTTGAGTCTTGTGTACAATATTTCTTAAATCCCTTCTTAAATCACATGTTAGATAGGTTTGGCTGCAATATTAGGATGCTTGTTTCTTTGTCCTTGATGTAAGAGCCAGTGAAGAATTGTGGATGTAGCAACAGTATCCTTAAGTGAATTTCACAGCATTTCATTTTATTCTAAGTAGAATAAAGGTAATGGTGAGCCTTAAGGAAAAGACAGGAAGTTAGCTTTGTATAAAACAAAATTTTATAAAGTATGGAAATCCTGTCAGGTAATTCTTTGCTTCGGTAAGAGGTATAAAGGTATACACACTCTCATTAGTGTACTGTCTAAAACTAATGTTCCTTTTTTTTTCCCCCCCAGAGGTTGAGAGACATCAAGAAGAAACACAAAAATTGGAAGGAAGCCAAGAGAATGCACCGGATACCATAAGAAAGATTAATAAAAAGGATTTTCTGGGCTATGGTAAGAACAAAACTGGTCTTACTGTAGTGATTCACATTCAGAAATCCTCAGAGAAGTACCTAGAAAACTAGCAGATTTAAATAGTTTTAACATTGTTTTAATTTTCTTTTTAATGTTTGATAGTAATATTAGAATAGAGCAATGGAGTTCTGGGGATTTTTCCCTTAGAGGTGGCAGCCAATATTTTGCCATCCTTAACAAAATGGGAATTCCTATCTGAGGAAGGGCTTTTCATAAACAAGAAACTAAAACTGTTTTTTTTTAATTGAAGTAAAGTTGAGTTACAGTATTGTGTTAGTTTCAGGTGGACAGCAAAGTGATTCAGTTATATATGTATATTTTTTTCAGATTATTTTCCATTATAGGCTATTCTAAGATATATGAATATAGTTCCCTGTTAAAGCTGTCTTTTCAATGAAAAAGAAAGTATTAACTTCTCAAATGGCATTTTTACATTTTGACTGTTTAGGAAAAAATGGCCTGTCTACAGGTAGGTAGTAGATACTTTTGAGACGATAGAAGAATATACTGATAGTTCATTTCTAAATCACGTCGGTAGCTCTAGCAAAAAATATATAAACTTAGATCTCACCTTTTAACAAAGATGTTGTTATCTTCAAATTTATTCTTAAGAAATTAAAGAAAAGGTATTTCCGGTAGATTTCAACAGCTGAAAGTTTAAAGGACTTAGGCAAAAGAAAGTCACCACAGGCCAGTAAAATCTGACAGCGTGTCTGCCTTTTTTCAGTTTACCGCAGGCTTTATTTCTGACTCACGTTCTCTCTGATTTTGTCTTTTATTTTCTCTTTCTCTGATAGCCTCCATCTTTCTTGGCTTCCTGGTTCTGACTCTTGTTTTGCTAAGTTCTGTTAATAGCTATTATTCCTCTCCGGCCCAGCAAGTGCCCAAAAATCCAGCTTTGGAGGCCTTCTTGGTTCATTTCAGCCATTTGAAGGATAAATTTCCAGGCCAGAGTTCCTTTCTGTGGCAGAGAGGACGTAAGTTTCTCCAGAAGCACCTCAATGCTTCACAGCCCACTGAGCCAGCCACCATCATATTTACAGCAGCTCGAGAAGGAAGAGAGACCCTGAAGTGCCTCAGCCACCACGTTGCGGATGCCTACACATCTGCCCAGAAAGTCTCTGCCATTCAGATTGATGGAGCTGGAAAAACCTTTCAGGACAGTGATAAGGTCAAGCATTCAGTTGACATGGAGCTGAGCTCTGGATTTGAGGAGGGCCGGAAGGCTGCCGTGGTCCACCGCTTTGAATCCCTTCCTGCAGGCTCCACCTTGATCTTCTACAAGTATTGTGACCATGAGAACGCTGCCTTTAAAGATGTGGCCCTGGTTCTGACCATCCTACTGGAGGAGGAAACATTAGAAGCAAGCGTCGGCCCAAGGGAAACTGAAGAGAAAGTGCGAGATTTACTTTGGGCAAGGTTTACCAACTCTAACACTCCCAGCTCCTTCAGCCACATGGATTCAGACAAACTGAGTGGACTATGGAGCCGTATTTCCCACCTGGTGCTGCCTGTCCAGCCAGTGAGGAGCATAGAAGAACAGGGCTGCTCTCTATAAGCTAAGCACAGAGTTGGTTATGTTCAGCATGGGTTTATTAAAAAGTCAGTTTAAAAGCCTTCCATTTATACGGAAGGAGGTTGACGAATGTGAGGAAATAGCCTGGAAAGCACAAATGAGCTTATTTGAGAAAAGAAATTTTCATTTTTTACTTTTTGTAAAATCTTTCTAATCTAAGCTTGACAAAGCTAAAAGTTGACCTGACTTTTTTTCCTTGCCTTTCAAGCAAATCAGGTATATATAACTGAGGAATGTTCTTCAGTCCAAAAGTAGAACAACAGAATCATTACATGGGAAGATAATCTTCTCAGTAACTACAGAGTGATTTTTGTTTTCTTGAGGCTCTAAGGAGCCTTTTGGATAGTATTTGGACTCAGATTAAAGCAATTACAAGTATAAAACTGAAAATTTTAAAAAAATTTTCTATCACATGTTAAATATTTTTAAAATTCATTTTAATAACCTAGTTGTGGGATTACATCTTATGCTTTTTTGCACTTTTGAATAGTATGAAAAAGGAAATAAGAATTCAGATACTGATTTACTGAAATACTATATGTAAGGCATTGTGTTTTTGTTCCGTTAATGAGCTCTGAGGGAAAAGCAGCTGTGCTCAAGAAATGTTCTTAAAAATTGAAAACAATGGGGGAATTGTTTATAATCACTGCAAATGAAATTCCAATTGGCTGTGTCTTTGCTTCAATTTTTTTGAATGATTTAGAGCAGTGGTTTTCAGGCTGTCTACTGGCAGCCCTCCCCTTTGTATCAAAGAAGTTCTTCTTTTTCCCATTTTATATATTGGGCTCCTCCGTAAGATTTAATTGGATTTAATTGGAATAAAGAGTTCCACTGATAATGAAGTTTGAAAATCACTGATTAAGTGAAAAAGCATCTTGGAGGATAGGGAAAAAAATGAAAATATTAAAACTCACGAGTAGGTTGAAAATAAAATACAGGTTTATCAAGAGACATGCTATTTATGAAGAATGAAGACTTACAGATGAATAGCAGAATGTATAAATAGTATTTACTAGCATATTTCTATGCTTTTGGTTAATCTCTGTTATCATTTCTGTCTCCCCTGAATGGAATTTTGTAATTGTCTACAATGAGAGTTTGAGTGCTTTAAGCAGAACAGATTTTAATAACCAGTTGAATCGTAGACTTTTATATAGGTACATTAGCATAACTTTACCGTACTGTTTTTATTACACAGTGATGGAACATTTATCTAATGCAGTTCATTTCTTGACCAGCTAGTTAGAAGTATGATTAGGTTAACAATTAGAAAAATGCAAGAGATGCTATACTTAGTGAGAGGAAGTGGAAATGGTAGATTCTAAGAGGTTTTAACAGCTAGTATTAATCGTTGGACCATGTTCTGTGATTGTAAGAAAGCTTGAGAAAGATGTTTATGGAGACAGTGATTGTTGATTTGCATCTCAACCCCGAAGGCAGAACTTTAGTAAAATGATCTTGACCTAATGAAGGATTTGTCCCATTACATGGCATACCTAGGAACTATCACCATGAACCTGGAATATTTCAGTTAGGTTTTGGCTTCTGAAGTCATGTGACTAAAGTATGGAAGGATTTTCGGAAACAGTAAGAAGATATAGGGGTCTTTGTTGATCCCTAAACAGAGAGCATAAAGACATGGGGGGAAGAATCTCTTTGAAAGTGTTTGTCACAGGAAAAACAGATAGATCTGTTCTAACCAAGACCTGACATTGTGCTCAACTGAGCGTAAGGCCATACCTAAAGGAACTGTTTTCATTTGGGACTTTGTGAAGGACTCTTCTGCTAGATTTGAGGAGAGACCTTCCTGAACAAAAAGTTAAAGCATAGTGAATATAATAGCAATCCAATTTAAAATCAGCGGAAATTGAAGAAAAATCTATATGCCATATTCAATATTTTTTGATATTTCTAGATCTCAGATGCTAGCATTACGTCACACAAAACCATTGGTGCCTTGTAGAACTGGTGCCTGCTGACCTGTGCTACCTCAGATTTATAAAGAACCAGTGTGAAGTGTGCACATCTAATCTGTCAGTGACTCGGATCACAGCTGAGACAAAGATGGTTTCGTCATTCAGTCGAATATGGTTTTTCATCATTTCCTTTCAGTATAATTTAGAAAATATTTCCAAATGTCACAATTTTTTTTTACTGTTCAGCCTTTGTTAAAAACACGTCTCCTTCCATGTATAAGTGCAATCAACTGAAACGTCAGTTTTCTACTATTTCAAAAATCATTTTTAAAAGAAGCAGTATATTAGCTCTGTGTCCTCATGAATAAAATGATTATTCTTAAAGCATAAAACTTTATATTTTTTAAGTGTACAAATAAAATCTATTATCTAATGTACCCTTAGGTTAATTTCTATTCAATTGTACCTATTTTTTTACATTTTTCAAGTTTCTAAATTTTCTTTTGTGTGTCTAGTAGTTGTTCATCTTTCATTACTATAATAGAGAGTTTGCTTGTTTGACTTAGAACAATGACTTGGGGGCATTTGATACGATATATGATACCCAAACATCACCATTTAATTATTATCATAGAACAACTCTAATTATGTTGTATATTAATATAAATCACTTCTTGAGTGATACCAGAGTTCTAGAACCAACTGGTAGAATTATAAACTGTCTCTCGACTTGAGTTTTTTCCCCTGTGGGGTAAATTTTAGGTTTCCCAGTTAGTTCCCAAGGGTTGGCAGAGGAGTTCTGGGGGATTCATATAACTAAAGGTAGCAATGCTGTTGTTTCTACTTCTAATTTTTAAATTAATAAAGTAATTTAAATATATTTCATTTGAAAGCTGCCAAGCTTATGTGGTAAGGTTCAGCAGGCCTGTGCCCCGCCATCCTCCAGGTAATGACACAGTTGAACAGTGTTAGCAGCTGAGGTGGTTTTGACCCTTTCACAGTTTTTGTTTGTTTTATACGGGAAACATAAGGAACATTGATGATAAAATATAACAAATTCAGCATGTGAAAGTGATACTAATTCAGCAAGATGATCTTCTCCGGGACTATATTTGCATACATCTGACCAGTTTCTATGCAGCATAGTCAGGTGTCTGGTACCTCAAAAACTAATGTTAAGCAGAAGATATAATCATTATAGCTGATTATCACTTACTGCGAATAAAGCTTATATCCATACACAGTTTATCTGTAGAGAAGTACTTTCAAATAGGAACATGATACCTTTTTTCTTTTATCATCTGAAAATAAAACATAACAATCATAAAAATAAACCAAGACATCTTTGTAAAGCCCTCAATATGTCATTTTATAAAAGCAGTTTTTAGTCTGCTTTTCATGTTGAATGTATGGTTAAATACTAATGTTTATTTTAATATTTTGTCCACCAATCTGAGCATAATATATTTCATTTTGAAATTTGTTGAAAAGTTAGTGGTTCTGTTTTCTCCTGTTCTTGTTTTTTCAAAAATTAAAGTACCTTTAACACTATCACTTGTTCAATGGGAATGTTGATGTTTGTCTTTATATATGTATTGTGAATATTAATGATTATGAATCACTATCATAGAAATATGATGAAATGATTATTTTAAAATATTTCTAAGGGTATCTATGAGATTATGAAATACTGAGGCTGATGAGTCACGTGGGAAATGCTTGCTATGAATAATAATATATTTGCAAAGAAGGTGTTACCAATTCTAGAGGGAACTAAAGATATCTGTGTAAAACAGTTTTTCCAGATGACTTTAAAATATGCCTTATTCCTATTATGTTAAGTTTTAGGTATTAGGTTGTAAGGTAGCTGATGATGTGGGCCTAAATTTGCCTCATTCAGACTGAGACTGGGCTACTGAAACTCACTTCCAGCTAATACACGGCCCTATCAGTTCTGTATATGGCAGTGCTTCTCCATCTGTTTTTAAATATATATATACAAACTAGTTAAGAGCACTAGCCTTATCCAAAGGGCCTGAGAACACAACCAGTATCCCCTAATCTGTAAATAATTGGTAAAGATATAAATAATTCAGTTTTCAATGCCTTTCCTTCCAGGATTATATGCTGTGTTTACTTCAGCTTGTTTTGATGTCTTTAAAAATCCATAGATTGGTTCCTATACTGGGAAATGATCTCCCACTTTTCCTCATTGAGGCTTCATAAACTAAATTTGCCCTTGGCTAAGAGCAGTTACTTGAACCAAAAAGAATATTTTTGGACTTGGGAAGCAGTGGGCTCAGTAGGTAGGGTAGAGCTGGCAAGAAGATGTGAAGGCCCGTGGCAGTTCCAGCCTTCCTTCTCCCTGTGCCCACACTAGCCTCAGCCTTCTCAGCCCAAAGCTCCAGGCAGCTGCTTCTGGTTGAGCGGATTACAGGAGATCTAAATCTGTTTGCCATCCCTGTCATAAAAGAAACAGCACATAAACTTTCAAACAACTGCAATTTGCTTTTTTTTTTTTTTACCTAACAAAAAGAAACGGGCTTTACCAGTATTAATGTCAAAATTCTTGGCATCCCCCTTCTTCCTTATGTAACCATGATTGTGTTTGCATTTGTTTCTTATAGATGTTGAAGAATGTGCCTTATTCAAATTAGTTGTGTGTGGGGTTTTTTGTTTTTTGTTTTTTTGCAGTACGCGGGCCTCTCACTGCCGTGGCCTCGCGGAGCACAGGCTCCGGACGCGCAGGCTCAGCGGCCATAGCTCACAGGCCCAGCCGCTCTGCGGCATGTGGGATCTTCCCAGACCGGGGCACGAACCCGCGTACCCTGCATCGGCAGGCGGACTTTCAGCCACTGTGCCACCAGGGAAGCCCAGTTGTGTGGTTTTATGAAAAATAAATCTCCTTAATTTTTCTCCGTTGACTCATTCTTGATTATAGTTCCCCAAATAGCAAGTTTATAGAAATGGGCATATGGTCATTAATGATGGGAAAGGAAACTGCCCTCCTTTGGTAATAAGTTCAAGAGCTAAAGAATCCTGTGAGTGTCAGGAGGCACCGGGCCA